GTTAGGACTTGATGCTTAGCATGTTAGAGTTTCATTTTTTTAAGACTCTCTACTTAATTAAGATGCTAGGATTTAGATTTTGTTATGATTTACTAGTGTTTAGGGTGTCAAGCTTTAAATATTTTAGAGTTAAGTACTTGAAGCAGTAAGGTTCGGAATTTTTTTAGGGTTTAGTCTTTTTTTTTTTTTTGGGTTTCGGTGCTTGGGTTTTAAGATTTATGTTTTTGTATACTAGCATTTAGAGTGTAAGAGTTTACATTTTTAGATACAGATACTTAGTGTTAAAATTTAAATTTTTTTAAGATTTAGTATTTAGGGTATTAGGATTTGAATTTTTTTAATGTTTAGTGTTTAAAGTTAATAGAGTTTAGATTTTTTGAGATTTAACATTTAAATTGTTTTAAGATTTAGTATTTAAAATATTAAAATTTAAATTTTTTTAATATTTAGGGTTTAAAATGATTGAGTTTAGATTTTTTGAGATTTAACCTATAAGGTTTAGGGGAAATGTGTTACAATTGGACTAGAGTAGTGGCCGATCGGATAGGCGACTGGTCGTAAGTCTATTCTCTTTCTCTTGAAGACACAATGTGACATTTTGTCATTAGTCACTAGAGCAACAATATTTTTAATGATATATTTTGCATAAAAATATATTTGTTGCAATTTAGTTTATATTATAGATTAAATTTAAGCCTAAAGAGATTTCAAACTCACATCCTTTTGTATAGGATTTTATTATATAGTGATTTAAAACTACCCATTAGTAATTTGTATGGGAAATGATAGGCTTACCCAATTTATCCACACTCTCCGTTACACACACCTCAATTTTCGTTATTTTTGTTAATTACACTTAACTCCATTATCATTCTCTTCATCAATTATTTTCTTCCTCTTTCTTTCTTCTTCTTTATTTTTTTTCTCTCTCTCTCTCGGCTTGAGTTCTCTGAGAACTCAAAAATTGAAGTGTGTGTAACGGAGGGTGTGGATAAATTGGGTGCATGAATCAGCATCCAATTTGTATATATGAATTTTTTTAGGCATTGTGTTGTTTAAAAAGTTTGATACTTATTTTGCATAAAAATACATATATTATGTATAATAAGTAAATGGAATTCATGTTTAATAGCTCAAACTATATATTAAAAGTGTACTTTGTCTTATAAATTTATTCAAATCTTATAAATTTATTCAAATGCTTTTAATGAAATAATAAAACAAATAATTTTATTAAAAATATTTTAATAAATCTATAAAGCAAATTGTTCTTTTAATATACAATTCGTCCTATAAAGGACTTTTTAATAAGTAAATTAAACATTTTACATTGTAAAAATTATATTTATGACAACATTTAGTGAAAGAGAAGTCCAATTAGTCTCACCAATTAATCTAATCAGTAATTGGAGATCAAAATGGTTTCACCTTCAGTTTGAGTTTAAAACCATTGTTCTAGGATTAAAAATTGGAGATTTAGAGTTTAGGAATGATTAATTTTAAAATTAGAAGTCAAAAGACCTAAAACTAAAAATAAAAATAAAAATTTATTAAATTAAAAAATATAACATATAAAATTAAGCTATAGGGACCTTCGGGTTTGGGATCAATGGCACCGTCCATATAGCATTACCTCAAAGAATTAACAAAAAGAAAAGAAATGTTAATAGAAGAAGGTGGAAAACATGAATTAAAGCAGACTCATCCCATTATCATCAGCTTCATTGATACCAAGAAATTGACGCCCTCAGCCTCAACCTTTAAGCAACGGTTGAGTGAAGAAAGGATACTATATATATATGCTATGCTTATTAGCCTCTTCATCATCTCTTTCCCTATTCTAATTTAAGGGTGTTTATTTTGATTTTCTTTAAATAGTTATAGCTTGTTGTTTTTAATCAAACAAATTATATATTTTAAATTATAAATAATAATTATTATTAATCATTAGATATTAATTATTAATTATTAACTATATAAAAAAATAGTCAAAACAACCCCAATTATATATACATATGTGTGGCAAAACTAACTTATCAGCAATCAGCAATATATTTCATTCCTTGTTGAATATTGAATTGAGTTATGGCTCTTGCATCTATACATCATGGTTAAATTTTGATGCAAGAAATTGGCAAAAATAGTTTTTAACATAAAGTATCGTGGACCACGTGGACTCAGGATATAAGTACGAAAAGTCTGTATCCTCACAAGAAATGATGGAGATTCCTTTTGATAATTAGGTCTTTTCCCCCCCAAAATGGCTATCTTTATCAGTATGACTTTTGCATGTCCTGTGCTAACGAAAGTCTCAAAAGACTGAATGAGACA